TTTCAGTCGCAATCATTGAAATAGCTTAATTGATTGGTTTGCAAAACGTTTACTATATCTTGTTTTTACAATAAACTCTCTGATTCCCTTCTGATTTCCTTCTGGCAAGCAGCATCAGAGTCTACCAAAGTCCAAACTCCTCCCTTAGTTCTCACCTTGGCCATTGTTTAGTCAAGTTCAAATTTCACGGGCTCAGAAAGAAGATAAAAAGAAAGATAGAAAGAGAGAAAACGATCGTAGCTCGATGTTAAAATTACTTTTTCTTTTTTGCTTATATATAATTCCAAAAGGTTGCTGGCCACTCTGCTAGCCGTAGATTGAGTTGAGAGATATTATAACGTACGCGTGTGCGGAAAAGTGGACCCGCGTGGTCGATTGGCAGGCGTGAAAAATTTTGCGCGAGCCAACAATGGGCCAGGACGCATCTCAATGAAAGTAAAAAGAAAAAACTGTTGATCACCGGGCGTCATTAATGCTGAGCGACGATCTTGCTGAATCAGCCATTTACACGATGCAGCAGGCCACCGCTGGTCGATTTCTGCCCCCGCGAGAGAAGCTATTGTTGCCCCACGTGGCTCTCTGTATCCCTTCGGAACTAACTGCTGCTGCTCTTTTGGAAGTGAGAAATTTCTCGCCTTGCGGGCGTTTTAATGAGCTGCGTATGAATGCTAATGGCTTCCGAGAAATATATCTTCTTTTTCATTCATTTCAATCTTCGTTCTTATCAATTAAGTCAGAGTACCGTATCAAATTGTTAAGAAATTCAATTTAATTTAATATCCAAGATTGATAAAATAGGAAATTTTCTCTAAATAGGTATGATTATCATTTTTACGTTTTATCATCTATTTTTACGTTTATTTTTCAAGTTTATCTCGACTGATACACGATGTTGATTCCACACTCCTGGTACAATAAGGAGGACGAAAAGATTTTATGAAAATGATTTGCTAACACCATTTCTTAATTGACGTCTCTTTTTTATGAGTTATTTCATTTTATCATAGCATTGGTGGAAACCAGATTTCAAAGAAGCTGGCTTTTCAAAGAAATCTTTTCTCGGATACTCATTGCTTTGTTTTGTAGTCAAATTATTCTAAATTAAGATTACGGCAAAGATAATTGATTAAGTTATTTGTTTATCGAAAGATTGAGTCTCATTGAAAAAATCGATTCAAAGATCGATTCTCAAGTCTAAATCTTCTCATGATCCTATCTTTTCAGTTATACCAATGAAACAAAATGTGAAAGTACATTATCTAAACGGATAAGAAGACAGAAGTGATCAGAGAGAAGAGCTGTAGTGAGGGAGAGAGAGAGAGAGAGAAAACATTCCAACGCCAATCCATATATATATCCTAATGTGCGCGAGCGAGCATTCCGAGGGCGCGTGCATTTATGACATGCAGTCGCGCAGGTTCTCCCCCGAAACGGATACCAGGCATTCCTCTCTCACCTCGGTAGACAGCCTGGTGCCGAACGGCGTCCCTCCTGCTGTGCGAGAGAGCCAAGTCCACACTCTCTCTCTCTCACTCGATGGAAAGAGGAAGAGCCAGATATAGATAGGCTTCTTTTTTATACTCATTCTTCTTCTCTTCTTCTTCTTCTACTTCTTCCTTAGCTACAGCCTCTTTTGTACTTTGTTTTCTTTTTTTTTTTGCCGTTTTTTTCTCTTTCTCTCTCTCTCTTTTCATTCTGGGCTGAGTCCTTTCAGCCGCTCAATGCCATGGGATTGGCTCAGATTTTTCGGTCATATTTACCCGAAATTTCTTTATTTACGATGGCCTCTCTTGCCCTTTTTTGTAGTAGTACTTTTACACTTTATTAATTTTGTTTACTCGAAACGTGCAAAATCCAAATTCAAATTGAAGACTTTTAGTTTCAGACCGTTTCACGACTGTCATATATTGACTTAATACGAACAAAATCGAAAATTACTATTCACAGAAATGGAAACATTTATTATAGCATTAGAAAACAGATGTTCATTGGAGCTTATTCTTTTCTCACGCTTCCAGATTTCCGTTTGTATTTAGCTTCGTCTCCTCGCGCCTTTTCTTTTCTTCAAATATACCTATGTTATATTCTCCCGCATCTGTTTCCTTTATAATCCCTACCGAGAGATTTTTCGATCTTTTATCCCTGAAAAATCGTAAAAAGACGTTTATGAAAAAACAAACCGCGTTTTATTCGTTTCTTGAATAACTCAATAAAAGTTGACACATTTATACTTCATTTCATTTTCCCTTTTCATTTCTTGTGATTTATATGAAAATTGTTGGATTAAAATATAATTTATCATGATTTTCTTTCACATTCATCCATTGCCATTTTCAAATGGATAACCTTTATTATTTGTTATCTATTAATAATCAATTAAACCCGTATAGTCTTGTAAGTTCCGAGTATTCGAAAAATCAATTTGAAGAAAGAGTGTACCTGTCCATTAAGTGTTAGGTAAGCATTTTAAGTCAAATCTATTAATGTTTGTGAATAGTGATCTTCAGAAATGCTACTATTAAGTATTCTCGGAAACAATCTAATAAAAAGTATAAAGGAGTTGTAATTTCGTCGGAATAACGGATGAATAGTCCTGAACATTCTGATTACGAGATAAATTACAAAGTATACCGAAAGAACAAAAATTGCATCTCATCGATGGAAAGGAAAAAAAATGATTTAGCCGAAAGGTGTGTGTCAGTGGATTGAAAAGGAATGCAAAGAATGCCGCGATCCTTCGTCGACGTATTGGTTTCCTCTCTTAATCTGAAGAAGTGGGCGTCCCGAAACTATACTCGAGCAAGAGAACCATCAAGCCCTGTCAATTAAAGTAACGCTTGAGGTGTGGGCGTCCGCGTACGTGTGCGCGCGCTCAGGTATTGTGTAAAGGTGTGAGCTTGAAAATATAACGGATGAATATCCTTCGGCATTTTTTTTCTCGCCCGGCTGAATGTTTCAGCAACGCATTATTTTTAGTTGAGAGATTGAGTTGTTGCCGCTTTGACCTCCAAGTTTTCAACGGAATTCCATGCCACCACTCTTCCATCTCCTCGTCGAGTCAAAACTATTTTTAATTGAAATTGTGCTTGAACTTTCAAAGCAGAATATTCTATTTAGTCAAAACATCCATTCGATGTATCCGTGGCGCATCAAAAAATCGTATATGAAAGCGTCATTCCCGGAGAAGGCAATCAATCATATTTTAACAACAACACAACGCGTCTCCATATGTGTGCAGTGAAAGGCACGCAACGATTAAAAAGCACGCAAAAATTAAAAAAAAAAAAAACAAACAAAAAAAAGAGCGAAGTCGCAAATCAATCTTTTGCCGCGTACACATACACGTACGGAAACTCTTCCCTTCAAATTAATTTCAAACGTCTTTGCCTTTGCGATGGGCAATATAATCATCCTTATAGCGTAAAATCTTGAACAAACCGTTATGTACGAGCGCGAACCCTCTGTCGCGTATACAAAACAGCAGTACACTGCTTTGCGTGCTCGTATGCGTGTGGTCGTTTGATGCATTGCTCATCCCGAGCGAGCGCGAGCGGCGTTAAACTCCCTACGTCGCCGTCCAGTCTCTCGCTTCAATGGGGACTACAAGTGCTGAATGCAAAGCTCCAGCCACTATGAAGCTGCCTGTTAATCCGTGATTTACTGGCGGCTTGTATAAGTGTGCGCGCGCGCGTATGTGTATAGACGCACGCGCCCTTGAAACGTATAGTCAGTTTATTAATTGCACGCGAGACTCGTATATATGCGATGCTAATGCAATCAATGAGCCTTTATCAATGCAATGTCATTTCTTCTTGCGGGCAATGATTGATATTCGATCTGATAGCTTTCTTTTCGAGACTTCTCTCTCTCCCTCTTTCTCTGCTAAATGGATGTTTGGCACGTTGCCGGTTTTTTTTTTCATTTCGAACGCGTTGTTACAGTCAATAGATGGTCATTTTTCTCGACATATTTTTTAGTTAGGTAAATTGTATGGCTAAAGCATTCAATGTTGTCGCACCAATAAGGTGTTTCCACACGAAACAATATCTGCTAAAGTCAAGATAATGTTTTATGGGATTAATGGGAAAGGAATTCAATAGATAATATAAAATACGTAATTTTTATACCAGCAATTAATTAGCGCAAGAAAATCTGATATATCGTACATACAAGCTATAAAAGGATGTCATTTGCTTCGAGCAATCATCCCATCTTGAATCTCACAGTATCATTACGAAATTCTTGATTCATCATGCCAAAACGTAGCGTTAGTTTTAATTAACTTATAATATTTTTATATGTACAGACTCACGGTCCTCCATACATCACCTGAAAAATTCGATAGATATTTGTTTATACAGTTAGAAAAACTTTGAAACTACTGTCGGGGTGGGGGGTTGTCAAATAAAATTGACAAAGCGTCGGGAATGAAAGGCTGCGCAAATTATTGAATATCAATCAGAGTGACATGACTCGATGAGAGACCAGACGCAAATGCTCTCCTTGTCCGGTAGTCATCGGGGTCTTGTCATTGTCTTTGTTGCCTCTCTTGTCTCCCTCCGCCCGTTTACCATTTAAGATCATCCTGTGGCCTTATCGTTGTTGTTTTGCGAAGAGACGGCAGCCATCAAAGACATCGACGGCACCGGATATCCAATGCTGCGAGACGATACTTCATAACAATTCGCGCTCTGCCTTAGCTCATGGCATGCAGTTATCAAATAATCAATATAGAATATTTTTAAGCTATATTGTTTATTTTATTAATTCTAATGATAGATTTATTTTTTATATTACACAATCAAAAAAAAAACATGAAATCTGATGGTTTCTGTATTCGATCATTGCATTGGATACATTCACATATGATGTGCGAAACTATTGCGAAGATATTATAGAATTTGTTTTTCACTTTAAAAATAAAATTATTGGTTACACAAATTATTTCAGACAGATTTATAGTTATTATAAATTTCTATAGATGCTATTTCAGAAAATTATTATTCACTTTCCTTTGATACTAGTTTTATAGCCAAAAGTTTCATTTCGTTCCTTGCAATTTTTCCACATGTCGTATATAGAAAGTTATCAATAAAATGAATACCCCCTCGTAATTTCTTGTAATCTTCCAGAATGGACGTAAGCTTCATAAGATCCTCTTTAGTTACCTAAAATAGTTTATAGTTTAGATTGTTAATAAAGAATACTTTATTGTGATAATATAATAAATGTCATTATATAAATTTTCTTTTATGATGGCAAATTAATATTTCACATCAACAATACGGAATGAGAAATTAGCTAGAATAAGTGGAATTATTTTATGTTCGTGTATTTGATATTTATTTTGGCAAAACCATTTTGATATAATACTATGAATTACTTACATTACTGTTTGGCGCCTTTTTACAAAAAGCTGCGGGCCAATTGCCATCGATTTCATGTGGAAGTGCTACAACAATGGCCTCTTGTATATCAGGATGCGACAACAAAGTTTCCTCAATCTCTACAGGTGAAATCTGATGGTTTCTGTATTCGATCATTGCATTGATTCGGTCAACTATAAATACTTCACCAGTCTCGTCGTAATATCCTATGTCTCCGGTATGATACCATCCTACGTAATGTGAAAAGTTTACTTGACTAACTTATTTCATAGTTAAAACATTATAACTTTCTTTAAACCTATTTTTACCGTATTCGTCAAAAGCCTGTTTAGTAGTTTCAAGATTGTTATAATACCCAATCATTTTAGCTGGCGATTTCACGCAGATTTCGCCTGGCTGATTCGGTCCAAGATTTGCACCGGTTGTTAAATCAACGAATTTTGCTTTAACATTATTAGTAATAATTCCAACTGACTCGATACGTTTACATGCAGGTGTTGCATTAAAAACGATTCCCAGCTCAGTAGATCCTATTAAAATTACAAAGAATTTTATAGAATATAATGCATTATTCTACTTTAGCAATAATAAAATTAAATACCGTAAAAATAATAAAAAAATGCACTGGGGATATTCTGTTTTAGATCTTCAAGAATATCCCTACTGTACTTGATACCACCAATAATGACAAAATGCAAGCTTTTCAGATCATACTTTTGTGTAAGATTCGACTTAGCTACGTATGGGATGAAATTAGGCGGTAAAAATACTCTGTTAATCTTATTAGAAATAATTATATTAATGTTTTTGTCTATCGTATTTTCATTTGGTTTTAGATATTAATGAATTTTCAACGTTATACCTTATACTTTTCGATGGTTTGAAAGAGATTTTCAACGACACAATGAGTGGGGATGATTCTAGTTTGCTCCATTAAAATAGTTTGTAATATAAATATAATACAACTTGCCCAATCGAGCGTTGTGTACCATAAGAATTTTTGTGTTACCGTAGAGGTAAAACTGGGTAGAGTTAGTAAAGTGGATAATAATGATTTGTTAGATTTCATAATTCCTTTTTGGCGGTCCGTACTACCCGATGAAAAGAATATAAATGCTACTTCTTCTGGGTTCTTCAGATTAACAGGGATAAAATTAGCAATTTCTTCTTCAGCCTGACTATTTATGATGTCTATTAAGGTTGGTAAGCTTGAATGTTTACCGATCACTACAATTTCCACAATCAATTTTTCTAGTCGTGAAGCTTCTCGAAGCAATTCAGCTACTTTCTCACATGTAAATATCACCTTCGGCAAAAATTGCTTCATGTAGCATCGCGCGCCATCTAAATATCAAGTACTTTGATTTCGAGATGATGATTGTATTTTTTAAGTTGCATTATTTAGTTTAGTCAGGAGTATCATTATTTTATAAAGTTTGGTAATGCGTGCATTACCTAACCTTACCCAATGTTATGTTATAGTTCCAACCATTAAAAATGGCATCTATAAAAATTGTGGCAATAAAAGGGACATAAGAATCCAAGTGATTATGAGTACAAGTGACGATGATATCTTGAGGACCGATTCCTAACTTTTTTAACCACAAAGCACAACGGATACTACATTCTTTCATTTTTCCATTACTGGTTTGTTCACCAGTTTTGGCGTCAATCTGTAAGTAAGGATTTATCGCTTAGTTTTTATGAATTAGCGAATAGTGCATATATTTTTACATACTTGAGCCACGTGATCAGGATTTTTATCGAAAGCATCTAGAATGATTGTTCCTAATTTACGATCACTGTCAACTGGCTCCATAGTACCTCTTAAAATATTGTTTTCTATGATGAAACTCATAATTGTACGTTCGACTGAAGTAATAAATTATTTAGTAAAAGGGCGACACTTATTTAATATATTCAATATAATCATAAACACAAAGTGTCAGAATTGTAAACATTGAATTGTGCTTCTATACGGTTAATAAAGCTAACTAACGTGTCAGGCAATTATCAGCCACAAAATTTTGAAGACAAGCTTCCACATTTACTTTTATCTATGATGTTCTTATCTCTATCGATAATATAATGAACTAAAAATACTTAAAACTGATTATAATGTATAGGAAAACAGCACAGCTTAATTATAATTAGTTATGTTAATTACTTTTATACAAAAAACTAAATAACTTCTTATTGAAATTTTAATAGCTACCGCTTATCCACTTCTTTAACCCTTTTTTATAGTTATATACTGTAATTATTCAAAGTTTTCAATAACAAACTTTAGGTTTGTATGAATTTTAATTGATACCGATATCCAAAAACACTTAGAAACGCGATAGTATATTTATGAAGGTATTTGATGTGCTGAATCCGAATCTGACTTCAGAATTCATCCATCGCCTAAGTATCTCGAGATATCCTAACCTAAAAGTACATAGCTAACAATTACTCTTATTCACTATGTTTGAGGTTATGTAACACTGAGAATATATTTTTTTCCGAAAACCGCAGAAAAATCATCACAAAGCAGCACTCTTGCCCTTTAAACCCCATTTTTTGAATTGGAGATATCTTTTTTTTTTCATCGAGATATCATTAACTGATGTTAAGTATTTTAATAGTCTCGCAATATTAAAATTACAGTTTACAGGTGTCTGGGGTTCAAAGGTCTGTAGTATATGGTCACAGGTTACAAGGATTGTAGGTTAAGGGAATTAGAATTCAAGGATCTAAGGTTATGTGGTCACAGATTACAGGGGAGTACTTAGCTTCAAATATTGATATCTCGACGGGTAAGAAAACTGCTTTGTTATTACTTTACTTGTTTTTGGAAAAAAAAATTTATTTACGATATTACATAATCGCGAACATAAGAAATATCTTAATTTTCACACTTTTAGGTTAGGATATCTCGAGAACCTTAGGATCAACTCTAAAGCCAGATTCAGATTTAGCGCTTCAAAAATCAAATATACCATGGAAATATATTGTCATTTTTCTAGGTTTTTTTCTATTTTTAAATTTTGTTGACTTGTGTAATTTATAAAACATGAAACTAGATATTTGGATTTATTGACAATGTAATATAATCAGGATATTTTAAACTATAATCTATTATAATTTTTAAGTACTCGTTACCTCAAACAGTTTCTAATGTATTGACTTCAATACTGCATTCATCATAAACCACTTAGCTAGGACTGGTACTTATGTTAACTCAAATAAGTTGATAATATTAAGACGCTATAATTACGTCAGACATATCATCATCATCTAGAAGGTATTATTACATAATATGAATAAGAGAAATCTCAGTACTATTCTTTGAGTTGCTTCAATCCTTATGTCATTGTAACATTTTTTGTTTGTTTCAACTCTGCCTTCTAACCGTTATATGTACATATTTAAGATTTTGAACGCCTTACCTCGTATACTATACATAAATAATTTTTTTTTAAAGATTTTTATGATCAATACAAGAAAATATTCTTAGAAAATGCAAGTATGTATAATAATTGTAGATATACTTTTAACAAAATTAATATACAATTAACATGTAAAATTTCTTAAAGTTATTTTTGTTTCTAAATTACCTTGATAACCATATTATAGCTTAAAAATGGTTTTGTTTTTAGATATAGAATCAGATATATATCTACCTGGCTTAAATTAACACTCAATTGATTGAAGTTCGACATTACATACAACACAAACTTGTAACTCAAGTATCCTATTATTGCACGATGTAAATATTCCAATGACGTTATGTACCAATAGACTCCTTACGTCATACATGTCCATCTTATATTGGATGTCTTAGATATAGATTGATTAACATATTCGTTGTAAAAGATTGCCAATATACTCAATTATCACTTATCACTCATTATCAATTATCAATTATCATTTTTATCAATCTGGTATAAGCGTCACGCGTTCTTTTCCATGCTTGAATATACAAGAAGCGCGGGGATAATGTAAGTTGAATTATTTTTAAATTGTTCAATCTTAGTCATTTATCTATGAAACTTCAATGACAAAATTCAGGACAATCTATAATATGTATACTTTTGCTTGTGATTCGCTTTATTTGCTTAATTTTTTATCTTAATCTCGTATCAAACATATTAACTGGAATTATTTGTAAAAAATATTTTTTAATCAAATTTCTGATAACAAGTATATTGTAAAATTTCGTTTTTCAAGAAAAAGTAATTATATAATTATTCTATAGATGTTAGACATTACGTACATAGAATTTGAGATCAAAACAATCAATAGGAAAATGTTTATACATATTTGATATTTCATATTTTTTCATTTCTGGACAGATTTACACTAAGTCAGATGGGTCTTCAAATATTCTTTCTTTAAAGCGGAATTCTCAATAAAAATTTTAGAACCCTACAAGAGAGAATTTTGTGTTAACAAACAACAGAAACATTATTCAAAAATTAAGTAGAAGCCGATATTAACCTAAAACGAAATTAGCTACAAAATTTTTTTCTACTGATTCTTTTGATCGGAAATTACGCGTATTCTTTTAATATTTACGTAAAAAAGAATGCGCTATCAAGAAGTATAGTCAGTTTCTTAATATTGTACGCAAAACTCGTATATACAATGCTAATGCAATAAATACAGTACCATTTCTTCTCTTGTGGACAATGATTGATTTTCGATCTGATAGCTTTCTTGCTGGGAGTTCTCTCTTTCTCTTTATCTCGCTCTCTCGCTGCTAAAGTGGATGTTTGACAGGTTGCCTCTTTTGATTTTAAACGTATGATTAAAGTAGATTGATAGTCATTTTTCTTTAAGCACTTTCGGTATTCTATACTACAACATTCCCGCAAAATTGTCGTACTAAATAAGCTACATTTATTCGAAACGTTACATAATATAATATTTAAAGTAATGTTTTGCAGGGCTGATGAAAGAAGATTGTGAAAACATAGTTTTTTCAGTATTATTTAATATTTTTAAATAAATAATTATTACTTATACAGAAAATAAATAATTATTACTTATACATGTAAAATATGCAAATTAATAACTAACCTGTGTAAGAAAATACATTGTATTGTACAGCAAGTGCCCTAAAATCAAAATCCCACCAATATTATTTACATTTAGTAATATTTTTAAGTAGTTATTTTCTAACAATATATTTAAGATGAATACATTTTTTATCATGGAAAAAAATCAATATTACATACGATTAGTAGTAATAAAAAATTAGACAACCGACGATTTTTTATTGTGATACTAATATTCAAGATTATCATAAATTTAAATATAAAAAATATGAAACACTGTGGTCATACGAAGAAGAGTAAACTGACTTGGATGGCAAGTGAAGGCATATCAAGACTAAAATTACCAGGATAGAAAAGGTACGTAAAAATAAAGTAACTCAATTGCATAATGATTGAGTACCCGGATGAGAATGATTAGACATGTTTTTCTTCAGTTTAGTAAGTTGAGATCTGAACTTATCAACGAGTGCATGCGCTTGCTGATAGTGAGGATCAGTTTTACAAGAGACACGGTCCAGCCATGCAGAAAGTCGTTGCTGATTTTCTTCGGCGTATCCGAGATAGTCTGCAAGCAATTTGAAAAAATTGTAAGCTGTTCAAGTGGTAAGACAAATGCTAATAAGATAATTTTCAAAGTTGAAGTATGAAATGCGCCTTAAAAATACGCTCTCACCAAGATGTTCCGCGTAACATGCAGCAACAATATCAGCAATTGTGATTTGATGACCAGTAACAAATGGTTTGTCGCGCAGCCATATCTTGTCAATATGACTGAGGTACTTCCTCAATAATTCGTCGTGATATGCACTCTCCGGCATGGACGGCTCTCCTCTTAACCTTGGATACAGATACTATAACGTACATAAAATAGGCCATCTTACCGTTATTAATTTTTCTTATTAATTAATATCACTATATCAGTGGCGGCAGTACTTCTCAACGTGTTTTTTCGGGATTTTAAGATATTTAAGTTTAAGTTTCCAACGAATACATAAGACCAGAAAATTACCTTTAATAATTGATATTGGGCTAAAATTACAAATATTTAGACAGTTTTAAATTGAATATTCTACTTTTTCCTCAAGTGATGTATGGCTGATATATTGGAGTTTAAAGTTAATATATCTGTATAATTCTGAGTTGACCAATTAGCACTGTCGGATAATTTTATAACAATTATTTGGTAATGGATACACTCAGACGTTTACATGATTTATTCGATGCATCGTGATTTTAAAGGTTCTGGAACTCTCTAACCTCTTATATTTTCAAATTACAAATTATTTTATCATCAAACTTTCAGATGAGTCAACCGATTCAGCTAGACTTTACCAATTTTTACTTAAAATAATTTAACTGATTATACATGGATTGTGAAATTTACAGGTTTTGATAGAAGCTTGACCTCTCAAATTAATTAAGAAAAATCAGGAATTGTAGAAACGATTCGAAAACTTGATTTTCTTAAAATGCGTAAAATACCAGCTTTGCCGTGATGTTTTAATATAGTTACCTTTCGATCGTATAAATATGTCCTATTCCCTTTTCCCATTCCATGATTCCAGTGCAGGAACTCATCGACTTTGGCTCGAGCTCGCAGCTCGTGCGGATACCAATGGTCGTGCACATCAAATTTGACGCATAAATAACGCAATATTGCCCCACTAAAACCAATCTAATATTAATTTCAAGAACAATTGTAATTCAGCGGGTATACTTACCTCTCGGCGAGATTGAATCCGTTGTCATGAATAACTGGAACTTCTTTCATTGGATTAATGTCCTGAAATTCTGGTAGATATTGTTCGCCTTTCCTCAGGTCCATGACTTTTCCCTCAAAAGGTATGTTGTTAATTTTTAAGAAAATATACACGGCCCTTGATGGTGCAGAACAGAGATTATAAAATAATCTCAAACTCATTGTAGATTCTGGAACGAAACGGGCGGAGTTTCAATTTATTACGTTTTATTATTACACGAATCAGGTATAGTCTTACGAACTATCGGATAATATACAGGGAGAAAATAATGGATTAGTAGAATTATTTTATCTTAAAATAGATAAGTAATTATTTACGTGATAATTGTAGAACACTTCCAGACTCGTGATTATTAGAATGCGTACTGCAAATTGGACGTAAATGTTTTATCAATGTTCGAGAAACATCTCTTCGAATACATTGTCTGTCATCCAGGCATTACGGCTGTATCGGGAAAGATTCATCTGTATATTTTATTGCGTCATATTTTGATAAATCACATTACACGCGTAACTTATCCAAAACAATCGAGATCATTGCATCATATCAATGTGTGATATTTTCTTAAGACATTGAAAAGTCTATCAGTTGCTCTGCTGGTCTATTTTATTGGAGATATGTAAGTGATGTGTGTTTTTTTTAATTTATATTTATTCGATAACAAACAAACTTCGAGTATCTTAATATATAAATCAAAAACACTAAGATTAAAAAATTTGCAATAAAACCAAGAAAAATTAACTAATTATATAAACAGTATGCTCTTTTGAATAACGTAAAAATATTCGTGTAAGTTAAAATAAATCTTATCTTTTCAACATTTTCAGAATTGGTTGCGCTTTACAGCATACATACAATCAACGAAGATAAACGTTTTTTGAACCTTGAAAATCGGACTGATTTTATATATTTTATATGCAGCCATTAAAAAATGTTGAGATTACCAATAATATCCTGTTTTTAAGTTTATTTCATTGTGATTCACGCTCGATGTGTTTTTCAATAAGCTTTACGAAAAAATTAATAAGTATTTAAGGATCAAAAATATTAACAATGTTTGTTGAATAATGATAAGAAGTAGTACGAGCGTAAAGTAATCGCTTAGAGGATCGAGCGACTACCTGGATGCTCGGCACCAAGTGACTTTGGAGAGCAAGGAAATTCCAAATCCAAATCGCGGTTAAGATTAGGGGGTAATCTCCGATCGAGGACTCGTTCGCCCGCCCATCCCTCGCTCACGTTCTCTCCCCTATTTTTCCACTGCGCACTTTTGCCTTTCACTCGTCTGCTAGTCGGAGTGCCAGTATAAGGTCAGAGTGGGCTTTTTAATTTTATTGGGCATAGCCGAGTTTTTTTTTGTGTGTATTTTAACTCCTTGAACATAAATCTCAACTGTAGCTTGCAATAAATTGAATGTTTAAAACGCTATAATACGAAACTTCTAATCAGTTACTTTTTGCCGTTCATTAATAATAAACAAGACTGTTTTTTATCGTCTCGATAATATAAGATTTGGAGATGATATTACTTTGACATAAAATGCCGATACAACCTCTGATCATCGAAAAAAATTAAAAAGCTACAGAAATGGTTGATATAAGAAATGATCCGCTATTTTACAAATAGTGTACTGCATTTCAAAAATCGAAAAATGAAAAATACGGCAATTCAAGATACCAAGCTGCTATCTTTATCCAAATAAAATTAAGGAGATTATATGATTCTTTGTTCAATAAGAATCTCGTTAGACTTTGGCTAATACGAAATAAATGACAGGAGGTAAGGATATGGCCAAATTACTACGGGAGTTGATTACACCTGTATGGATAGCAAGTAGGTGACCTCATTGCCACGCGCTGCGAAGCCGTATCACTCGAAATATTTTAGTTAACGTGTTATATCTTCCGTTCTTATAAATAATTTTTAACTTTTCGAAAATTTGCATATTTAAAATAAAAAGGACAATTGGGTATTTTACTCGGTCAAAAATAAATGGATACCTTATGCAACGATTATTGAAACTTTATTAAAATTTGAATAACAGTGGTTCAGTCAATAAAATTCTTTGCCATTACAAAATTTTTATACGATAAATTGCGATACCTTTGATTTTCATCTAAAGATTTACAATTTTCAAAATATAACAGATTCCTTGTAAAATAACAAATCACTTTGTAACATTCATTTTTAGATGTAATTCTTCCATCGAGGCGATCAAGAAACGGTATTAGCCAATAATAACAAAGAAATGCAAATTATCTATTTGACTTTTCCTATAACATCTAGTTAAAAAGTTATAAAGGTAAAACGTTTAATTAGCTTGTAAAAAATTACTCGACTGTCAGTTCGTAAGCCAGCCTCGAAATTTTAAAACAAAATTATTCCAATACACGTCGAATGGGAATTCCGCGGGAAAATATTTCAGCTCCCAAGTTGTCAATAGTGTGTGAATTCCGTTCGACTGGATTTTCGGTTACACGCCAAAAATACAAAGTTTGTGAGAAAGCAATCCGCACGTTCAATATTTAGAAAACCGTAGCAAAAAAATATCAGATTCCTCCAAAGGCTTGAGAAATCGTACATTCGTACAGTCAACTATTTTTCCAAAACAGCGACACCAAACGTAAGTCAATCTTTGCCAGGAAGTCAATAAAGCGAACCAACGGTTATCCACTCAAGCCGTTCGTACCGCAGGCATTGTTATGACAATAAAACTCGAAATCGAAAAAAAAAAAAAAAAAAAAAAAAACGCGCGAAATCAGAGCTGGGAGAAAGAGAGAACAAGAAAAAAATGGAGGCTCGCGTGTGTGCGACCCCTGCGAACAACAAAAAACAGTTCACCCCTTTCGCGCGAAAACAATGCGCGCGCGTGCACGGCATCGATCGAAGATCAACGAAGAGTGCTCGACCTCATGAATATTCGTGGAAGAAAACAAGCTTTAATGACCGTTGATTCGAAGTAAAAGTTCGAGTGGCTTGGGCACAGGGAACTTTCAATGGTGACGCTTATATAATGCGCGCTGAAAGTATGGATGTAAGGACTGTAAAACGCGAACGCACGGCCGTTAAACGCTCGCGATTGTGGCTTTTTTCTCCTATGCCTTCGTACTTTTGACTGATTCTCACTTGAGGATTTCGTTATTGTTTGGTTTTATTATGCCCGCTACTTATTTTTATCCTCGTCATCTTGTGTGACACCGTCAAAAGATTAAAAGCTAACGAACGGTTTTCGGAGATCAACCAAAATATCACGCGACGCTACCTTTTTTCAAACGTATTTTTATTCTTATCTAATTGTCGGTCATGTAAAGGCGTTTTTTACAGTGAATTTCCAAACAAAATTATAAATGAAAGATCGAGTCAGAATATAGACCTGAAATCGACATGGATGTCATTTGAATATCTATTGAAGACAAGAAATGAGATTACAAACAGCCAGGACCCTTATATTACTATTCGGCCTACAAATCTCTCACGACATAATGGAACAAGAAGCCTAGTCTTCATTTTGTGAAACGCGTACAAGGCCAAAAAACCGACGACGAAGCAGCAAAACAGGCGACTTCTGTGGCTCTCTTTTTTTTCTGTTTTGGTCGATTCTGGTACCGCGTCTTTCGCGCGTCGGATTAAAATCGCGCTCGAGCGGAAATGTCTCTAGCGTTGATGAACAATGGACCGACTCGCAATCTGTCGTGGTGCATCTGGTAAATGGCAAATGAGGCGACGCCCATTACCTTTCGCTGGTGTGTGTGTTTTTTTTTTTCTTTTTCATTCTGCTCACGCCGCTGGCCGAAGAAAAAAAACCAAGTCCGTAGGAGTGACTAATTGAGGATGTAAATTCGGCTGTAAAAAGACACGGCTAGATATGGAGCGCGTTCTAAATAAGCGGTTCCGAGCTCGCATCTCGATTTCTCGACAGCTGAATTGATGTTTTCTAGGTTTCCGAGCAGCCGTGCACGCGGCTGTTGGACGTTAATTATAAGTGATGACTTTTACTGAATGTGAAAGGTAGCTCAAAAAAGGCGTTTGACATGATTTACCGATAATCAAAGACTATTTTCTTTATTACTAGATGTTCCGCTACTAAGAAGTTGTAAAAGTGTGTGCTACTGTCAAAATAGATGGTTCAATATAGAGATTCAATTTGAATTTTTCAATGTTATGAATAACTTTCATTGATAAGAAACCCATCAAAATCTTATCTAACAATGATAGTTAAGGAGAATGTGTATAAATTAAGAATCGTTAAACTTCAAAAGAGAATATATAAATATGGATTCTTTTTTGGCCGAAACGTTAGTAAATCTCATGATATTTTACACCATAATATATTTCTAATACTAGTTAATAGTTAATCGACAATGAGAACAGAAAAAATAATTAATTGAAAGCCATAAGTCAAGTCTGGTCTAATTAGATTGAAACAATATACCGGCGATATTGGTGGAATTACTGCGTAGGACAGACGCACCCCTCAATTGCTCAAATTCCTTTTCAGGTCAATTGGTCATGAAAATCAAAAATATAGGTAGGTCAAGTGCGAAGAGGATAAGGAATGGTGTGTGCAGATATTCAGTCTTACTGGATTTCATTTCTTGAATCTTCGTACTAAGATTTTGTTACTTGTTTTCTAAACGATTTTTTTTTTGACAAAAATAAAAAAACATATATCTGAAATTAAGTTTTTATGGGCAGCGAGCCAAAATATGCAAATGAAGCACATAACTATTCTGCACGTAAATGACGCACCAAAACAATCGACCATGAAAAACGAGTAAATCTCAAAAGGCCAACCTAAGTTACATAAAATTTCTGGTCATAACAGATAACAAGTCGCACTTGCCTGCACGACTGGCCAATGCTTCATATGTTTATTCTGTAAGAGGATATGGCACTGCAGAGGAAAAACAGTAACCAAAATCTAATCAAAACGTACTCTGGCAGTGTAACCCGTTACTACTTGACACCGCGTCAACTGCCTTCAAAGACAAGACTGACAAACGTCAACCCTTTGAGGTGTGCTCTCGATGCGCGTCCGGTGCAAAACAAATAAGATGCGCCAAACTGACGCGCGTCCATCGGAAATCTCTCGTAAAAACCGAAAAGAAAAAAAAAAAAGATAGTAGTGACATGAATCGCGCGCCGCGTCCCTACTTCGGAA